TTCTGAGGCAGCTGCTTTTGGTTTTCATTTTCAACTCCAACTAAGTGCATTTTAAGGCCATCTTAATGATGCTTGCCATGCTTCAGCCAGACAACTTTATGTCCCTACTTACGAGATGCAAGCCATCTTGCATCAGCTGTTCCTCCAGTCATGCTCCAAGCAGCTCAATCTCTCTATATCTTGAATTCTCAGAACCCGAGGGTGAACATTCAGCCTGCTGTGGCAGAAGAGTTTTGCTCTTAGCCAATGCAAGATATTAGCAGAATTCAAATCTTGCAGAACTGGCTGCTCAAGCCAATTGTGAGGTGTTCATAGACTTTGACCAAGTGCCCTTCCAAAGACAAACAAAATGGGGCAAGGAAGGCCTGAATCTTTTGCAAAACAAGATACATTAATCAAACTCCCTATAACAAGCAATGTATTTATATACGCATTGTTGTACTGATCTCAATAATTAAAATCATTTAGTTTTTACTGAAATTAACAATGGAAGAATAGGAGCAAAATAAATTTCATTTGCATTCCAGAGTGTGACAGTCACACCAGTGAAAGCCATTTCCCATCTTCCAGATGGTTACATTCTGTGGGGAAACTGCCCCTTGACTCTACTCAGAAACCTTACTTTCTCCTATGTATTTATTATTGTTAAAGAAGTCCAAATGTTAGTAGTGAAGTGAAGTAGTAAAGTATATAGACAGAAGCACCAGGTTCTGGGTGGGCTCTGCATTGGGACAAATGTCTGTACGATTTTAAGTGGAAACAAATCAGTTTGTGATAGTGAAAACCCCTGGCAGTAAATGGATCTCCTTTTGCTGATTCTGTTTAACGAGGGTAGGTATGTTTGTTGGGTTTCTCTGTGTGAGGAAGGTTTGTGTGTGTCGTGGAAAAACCCAATGAAAAAGATAAGAGACAGCAACACAACAACAATAATTCTTACTTTACGATTCAGAGGTCTATTTTGCTAATAATGTGGAACATAGCATGCAAAATAACACAACATCACTTACGTTAATAACCCATTGCAATGAGGACCATATGGCAATAGCAGATTTCAAAAGGACAGCTATAGGCCAATGGCAAATCAATCAGGTCCAGTCCCAACCCTTTCTCATTCTAAGACTGTAGTCAGATGGTCTGCTGACTTTTGCTGACTTTCTACTGACTTCCTGCTGACCTTCTGCTGAACATAACTTTCCACATGTACCCGTGTACATTGGAACGTGCATCCATCAGCTACTTTCAGTTCCCCTTTTTTCATGGTTACAATACTCATGTTCCAAATATATACAGAACTACCTACTTTGCAATTTCATATTGCACAAAGCTCAGCAGATCACAAATAATACGTCCGTATTGGGAAACGATATAGAGTTCGAGTTAAAGCTTTGTTTTAAATCACTACTGTGGGGCCTATCTCAGGTTTGCTCCAGTCTCATCTTGTTATATATCTTGTTACATTTTCATCTCCCACCTGTGTATGTGAGAGAAGTGTTGGCAGAGGCAGATTAGGACCAATTATTCAATCTCCAGAGAGGTGGAGAAAGTGGGCACTGCATGGGATGTTTGCCTGGGTTTAATTTTTTTATGCAGTCTACTTTCCTTTTGGGGGCAGTCATAATAATTTCAGATAAATGTAGTACTTGCCTTCTCACTTTGAAAACGTTGTCCCACCAGCGTATCTCTCAGATACTCAGCAATTTTGCTCCTCAGACAATGAGGTTGATTTTCTCATTGTCAAGAAGGGACTCTACTTTGAAGTGTGACGTAGTAGTTCTAGTGTAATTGCCACTGAGGATGGTGATGATGATTATGTGTTATCAAGTTAATATTGACTATTAATGATGAAATAGATGTTCTCCATGATGGACTGACCCTAGCCTGGTCCTTCAAGTCTTCTAAACATCCATTGCCACTGCAACTGAATGCATACACCTTGCTTCTTCCATCTTTCCCAGCATTAGAGCCTATTTATTTCTATTTATCAACCCATTTTTATTGCCTTTTATCGATAACCCAAGGCAGCAAACATACCTAATACTTCCTCCTCCTCCTCCTATTCTTCTGTAAGGTGAGTTAGACTAAGAGAAAATGACTGGCCCAAAGTTGCCCAGCTTTGGCTTTCATGCCTATGGAGAGACTAGAACTTTTCCAGAGAGCCAGAACTTTCCATAATGTCTCTGAAATAGGATAATTTGAATCTGGTCACTTGTGCTTTGAGTGAGAACTGAGTTTTGTTTTTTTGAAAATCCATTTTGTTTGTATCCATCATTTGTCATGATCAGCTCACTCCTGCTATCAACTTCTGTGGCAGGATGGTCTCATTAAATAGTCCATCCCAGAGATTTTATGGATCTGATTAGCCAGTTTCCTTTTGGTGCCCTATTGAAACCTGAAATAGAAAAGTGTTAAAGGCATTGCATATGCTTCATCTAAAGTGGCTTTTTCCTGAGCAAAAATCCTAGACTCTTCCTTGACAAACTGAATTGTTCTGTCAGATGAAGAATCAGAAGAGGTACCTGAAGTGGTGCTTGTGAAAAAAAAATAAGAAGTGGACATTAGATACTAGCACATGTTCATGTTTAAACCTACATTTTGGTGGTAAATTGTCTGTGCTTCTCAGCACCCTTTGTTTCATCAGATTCTTTGCAGATGTTGTAATAATGCTTCTTGTCTCTTTTCATAGCTCTCTGAAACTAATATTTTGAGATTTTTGTCTTTCTGAGGTTTGCCTTCTCTTCTCTACAGTTTCCACAGTTGCTCTAACATCCAGTCTGGCAGTCTCTTTTCACACTCTTTAACAACTTTTTGAAAGTCTTTCCATAATTCCTCTGGTTCTTTATCAATGAGGTTAAGGATTTCAAAGCAATTCCTGATGTTCCCCTTGAAAATAGGAGGCATATAATATCATCTCCTCCTCCTCCAAATGTACTCAATTTGTTTTCTATATACTCCATCTAGTGATGTCTATGAAGTGGTATCGTTTGGGTTATTTGACTACAGTCTAATTATCTAGCAGAAACTATATGGCAGAAATTGAACAGTCGGCTGCTTCATTTCAATTTCCTCAGCCATACAATCTAACTACATTTTTCTCTTTCATGTTCCTTTTGCAGTCTCCAATCATGAGCAGCACGTACTTGCATGTTCCGTCAATTTCAAATTGAACTTGATCATAAAGCTCATCAGTCTTCTGCATCTGTGTTTGAAACACAAACTTGAATCATTGTTATTTTATATTAAAGGGTTGTCTACAAATATTAATCCATATTACCTGGTCATTGATGGCATTGTAGCTTTGTACGATTCTTGCTATAGTCTTTCTAACTGTAAAAGCAAAATTATTTCCCCTTTGTTTTCATGTCCTTAATTAATAAACAGTGTGATCATCTGACTGAAAGTGTTCAATCCCAGTCCATTTCAGTTCACTGATGCCTAAGATGTAAATTTGTAATTGTTTCATTTCATCTTTCACTGTGTTCATGCTTTTTATGTTCCATGTTCCTACTGTAATTTTATCTTTGCCGCTTTGGATTGTATTTTCCTGTATGACAACATCAGCAGCTACATGTCCCAAAGGGTTTAATCTAACCCATCATAAACATGATTAGAACCCCAAAAGATCTTCAGCAGTTCCTCACTAGTGTGTTGTGCCATCTGACTCTATCTCTTAAATTATAACCAGATACAGCAGTGAATGCTCCAACACTGGAAGTTTTTAAGAAGAGACTGGACAACCATTTGTCCAAAATGGTATAGGGTTTCCTGCCTGAGCAGGGGGTTGGACCTCCAAGGTCCCTTCCAATTTTATTATTATTATTATTATTATTATTATTATTATTATTATTGTTATTGTTATTGTTATTGTTATTGTTATTGTTATTGTTATTGTTATTGTTATTGTTATTGTTCTTATTGTTCTTATTGTTCTTACTGTTCTTATTGTTCTTATTATTATTATTAATGTAAAGACTTTACGGTAAGTCCTCAACTTACGATCATTTGTTCACTGCCCATTTGAAATTACAATGGTAACCGAATGAAGGGACTTACCACTGATACCCGAAGTTATAGCCAATGCAGCCCTCTGTGGTCACATGATCAAAATTTGACTGCTTGTGAGCTTGCACAGACCTGTGATCCCATGGGAGGATGCAACTCAGCCCCCCCCATCTGCCACCCCATCTATGTCCTTTTCTACCCTGTTACCTTGCCTTGCTGGGTGGCACGAAAACTCAAAGCTTTAGCCACATATTGCAAACAGCAGCAGGAGAAGGAGTCGGACAAGCATCAAAGGAGCAAAAGGAAGAACCTGGCTTACTGAAGCTGGGAACAGACCTACTTCTTACTCCTTGAAACCAGAAGAGGAAGAGAAACCAGAGCCGATCAGGGAGAAAGCTCAGTGAGATCTATGACAATACCCTGCAGCCAACGACCAACTTGCCATCTCTCCACAGCCAATTTGCATGGCCAACTCATTGTGGGAAAACTCGCCGCAACCACCTCTCTCCAGGACAAGAATTACACTAATATGAAAGAAATGGTGGAATAGAATCATTAAAGAAAGGATTCAAAAGAAGGGGCAAAAGGAAATCTGAATGATAAGCATTAAAACAATTTTTTATTTACTATAAATAATTAAATTGAATTGTTAAATTGTCTCATGAAGAGTTGTCCCAAATTAAGTTGTCCATAGCCTGTTAGTAACAATGAGTTGGCCATTGCGAGTTGGGTGTGGCAAGTTGTCCCATTGGAGCTCAGTGATTCATCCAGTGAGGATGTTTTGCAAAAGATGGAAGCCACCCTTATTGGCTGGGCTCTGTCTTAATCAGGTGGCATTTGGGAGACTGCAGGCCTCTCCTGGATCTTGCTAGGCTTTGGGGAAGCCATTCCCCAAAGCAGCTCTGAGACAAGCTTCCCAAAACCTTTGCTTTCCCCTCTCTCTCTCTCTCCACATTTTCTATAAAATATCGGTTTAATTCTCTAATTTTAATTTTAGGTCAGATATAATCTATCATAACTGACATGAACAGCATTGCGAGAGAAGATCTTTACAGAGCATTGAATGACCTCCTTGAGGAGCAATTTGAAGAATTTAAATGGCGGCTAATATGTATTGACCACAGTGGAAAGCCAAACATTCCTCCAGCTTCATTGGAGAAAGCTAATCGACAAGAAGTTGTAGATCTTCTGATTCAAAATTATGTGGAAGGTGCTCCAGAAGTGTGCATTCGTGTCCTTCAAAAAAGCAATATAAATGATGTTGCTAAAAAACTTGAAGAAACTTTACAGAAAGGTAAGAAAATCCAACATATTACAGAAAAGTTCTCTCATGTAATATCAACTAGAAATAAACACCAGTTTGATTTGGGGAGCTGACTCCTGCTGAATCATGTTCAACTAATTCATTGATGTTGACCAGGATTAGCAGTGGGCCCCTGGGATTTCAGAGAGGAGTTTTCCATCAAATCTGAGATTCCTTCTAATCTTGGACCTGCTTTGCATCTGCTCTGTCGCTCAGTTTGGCACTCTCCTATCACTGAGAAAAGAGAAAAGAAAAGGAAGGAAGAAAAAAGTTAAGTCAAGTTCAACCGAACAGTTCATTGATCTAAATTTAAAGAATATACTTAAAGGTTTTATTTATTTATCAAATTTTTAAAACGGTTTCTCTTCCTAAAAGGAAGGGATGGTGTACACGTAAAACAATATTAAAATGTAAACATTTGATAAATAAAATTTACAATCTAAAAAGGCAAGAATGGATTAAAAATTACTATCAAAAATTAATGAAAAGGCATGGAGATGGCTGTCAGGGTGCTAACCACTCTATAGAGGCATGCTCTTCTGTGCGTCCCAAGGAAGTCCTCAGAGCCATGCTTCTATATGTTTCCAATAGGCCAGGAGAGGAGGAGCACCACATGGTGGGGACAATGGCAGAGAAGGTGCTCTACTTGGACACCATCAGTGGGAATTTTTAGCTGATGGAGTCCACAACATACATTCTCTGCATGACAAGATGGGATGTGCTGAAGTAATGGGATTATGATGGCTCTATAAGTAACTTGGTCCATGCCTTATAGGGCTTTAAAAGTCATGACCAATACCTTGAATTGGACCCAGAAGCATATTGGCATTCTATGAAACTGTGTTGCTCCACTCACACATGCACACACCACAGTAGGCTAAAGGTGTTTATTGAACTCTTCATCCATGCTGACCACAGCTGCTCTCACTCCCCACCTGGAGCCTCCAAGCTAACTTGTATCCAGGATTTTCTCTGCCCAAGCTCAGCTGGCTGCCAGTCCAGTTGTTCCAGCTGTAGTTGCTCTGATGAGCTGGAGCCAGCTGCTCCCTCATCTGAATCCATCAGACTCCTGGCTCACTGGCCTCTCTTCCCTGGAGGTGCCAGGGACTAGCTCATCCTCTTCCTCCAAACCAGCATCCAGAGAGGAGAATGGAGACACGTCCATTACAGAAACTCAGGCAGCAAAAGTGTTACATGTACTCTTTTTTGGGCTCCCAAGATTGCCCATGAGGCCATATTCTATACCAGTGAAGCAGCTCCCCGTTCAAAGGTAGCCCCATGTAGAGCTCATTGCAATAGTTGAAATGGGAGATGACCAGGGCATAAATGACTGAATGGAGATCCTCCCTATCCAGGAAAGGGCATAACTAGTGCATAATGCACAGTTGAGCAAAGGTCTACCTAGTCATGGCTGCCACATAATATTTGGACAGCAATTGTGAGTATAGGAGGACCCCTAGATTGTGCATGCTTTCTGTCTGGATAGTGCAACCCTATCAAAAACCAAAGATGCTAAATTTTTGGATGCAGAGGGGCCCAACCACAGCCACTCTATCTTACCGAGGTTCAGTTCAAGTCTGTTGTTCCTATTCAAGCCTCCACAGCCTCCTAGCCCCAAGGGAGAACATCCGTATCATCACTCACTTCACCTGGGATGGAGATATATAACTGGATATCATCCATGTACTGATGATATCTCATCCTTTAGTAATGGATGATCATACCCAGTGATTTCATATAAATATTAAAAAGTAGCAGAGAAAGTACCAAGCCCTGCAACACCCCACAAAGGAGGGCTGTGAGATGGACTTCTCAGTCCCTATCAACACTAATTGCAACCAGCCTTGGAGGAAGGAAATGAATCAGTAGAGAACGGTACCACTCACCCACCCTCAACTCCCTAAGGATACCATGGTATCAAAAGCAACCAAAAAGTCAAGAAAACAAGGATGGATGCACCATGTCCATCCCTATTCCATCAGCAGTCATCCATGAATGTGACCAATGCTTTTTCTGTCTCATATCTGGGTTTGAAACCTGAGTGAAAAGGTAGAATAATCTGTTTGCTGTTTGTCACCACCTTTTCAACCATTCTCCCCGAAAAGGAAAGTTGGCAGACTGGACGGAAAGTATCCAATCAAGCAGTATATTTGAAGCTAAAGTTTGAAATGTGGGATACTTGGTGTTCTCTGAGCTTGCAACTGTTTCATTACCCAAACTAGGTAAAATTATCAGTGCTAGTCAGAACAGTGTTCAGAATGGTGGGATCTACAAATGGCTTCATTAGGAGGGGACGCATCAGAGCCACAAACACCCTGACCATTAGGGATGAATTTTACATCCATTAATCACCCAAGGCAGAGCAGTCTAATGGGTCCAGCCTCCTTGGAGAGGGGGGTAGCATAAGAGAACTTGAACGTTACCTGGTCAGGAACTGACCATGATTCAGTCTATTTGTGTTTCCTGACATGATGCAATATTAGAATATTTTACAGGTGGTGATGCTTTGTTGCTGTTACTGAAGAGAGCAGGGTATGCAATGCTGGTTGAAGAGAACAAAGAAGGATATCATTTGCAGCTATTAAGATTCTTGGAGGACCAGGCACAAAAACAGCTAGAGAAGTGATTGAAGCCTGGTAAATGGGATCCTCGTCAATAACCAGAATGCTGATTTGTCACCAGCTTATCAAGTACTCAGGAGGCAAGGACTTGGCAGCACAAGCAAACAACAGCCAACGACTTAATAGCCAGCCATTTACCCCCCAATTAACATCTAAAAAGCCACACACAACAGGTACCATATAAATACCACACACAGAACAACCCAAAGCACAAACTTTGCTTGAGAGAAATTCCTTGAAGATGGGCTCCAGCATGAATCTGAAAACTCAGAAGACAAAACATCTGGCCCTGATGACCTACCCAGATTGGATCCAAAGACACAGTCTCTCTCAGGAGCCTCAATGGAAAGGAAGTGAGAACTGGTTTTGGGAAAGCACAGTCACCAAATATCTGAAAACTCACGAGTACATTTCTACACTGGGGATCCCAAATCTGGTATCCAAGAAGTATCCCAGAAACAGTATTAATCCCAAGAAGAAATCCCATTTGAGCCTTGTTGCATCCTGAAGATCTGCTTTAATTTGCCTGACGTTGTGTTAGATGGCATGAGACTGGCCTTTGCGGAAACAGCAGTGTTCTTGAAGGAGGGCACAACCCACCCACCCTTGAAGAGTTCTCCAAAGATCTAGGGGGCTGCAATTTCATTGAACTATTTAGGCTAGAGAAGAAAAGGCTAAAAACATTGAATGGCTGACATGGCACCATTGAAACCCAATTTACATTCATCTGAAATATGTTAAAGAGGTCAGTTGGCTCCTAAAACTCCAGTGCCTGAAAGCAACCTATAGACAATTGAGAAAACCCAAAACAACTTTTATCTAAGTTAGGGGTTTTGCTTTGATAAAGATGGTATGCAAAACTCCTCACATTTAGGATATAGTTGGAAAATAAATTGTGTATGCTGTAATACACCCATTCAACATCTGAAAGCCCCCACAGTTGGGCAGGCAAGGTTTTCTACCTTCAACTTTCACATATGAAAAACAAACCAGGATTGAAAAGTAGAGATGAAGATGATGAAAGGAGGGGACTTTATGCAGAGACTAACAGGATGAAAAATGCTGCCGAGCCGGTAGTAGAGCTTCGAAGAGCCCTGGAGGAAATTATTACCTTAGATCCTTTCCAGTCGTGTTTCAGGCTGAGATGGTCTTCGTGCCACTAATGGATGGCCTCTGATGGGAGCAGAATACGGATAGTGTGTCTGTCCTAGCCCTCCTTGATCTCTGTGTGCCCTTTTACATCAGTGGTCTTGATAGCCTTTTGAAACGGCTTAGTATCTTAGGAGTAGATTAATAGCAGTTCTTCTTCTTCCAAAAAGAAATTTATAGAAATTCATAAGAACTGTTAGATAAGAAATCTAATATACCTTGTGAATGTAAACATCCATAATTGCTATGTTACCCATGTATTTACCTATTTTTTTAAAAAATGCTCTGAATTTACCTATTTTTTATAGTTTGTATTTCACTAATTCAGTCCAACTTCAGTTGCAGATGCTGATGCTCCCCAACCACCAGATTCATCAGGTAAGGAAAAAAAATATTCAAAGGATCACCAAATTATTTTTAAAGCTAATTCAGCATGATCAGGTCCTCCCCTCTCCCTCCCCACCTATGCAAGAAGCTTTTGTGAAAATTAATCACTCCCAAAATCCTGATGGGGAAAACTCCAGGGTGGTTCTTGCAGTGGAGGAAGGAAAGAAGGAAGGAAAGAAGGAAGGAAGGAAGGAAGGAAGGAAGGAAGGAAGGAAGGAAGGAAGGAAGGAAGGAAGGAAGGGACCCCACCATTCATCCTTTTATTTTTTCACATGCCATTGTTATTAGTTTTTCAGAATATAAAATACAAAGGAAAATAATAATAATGGGAACTGGAGGAAGAGAAAAGGGAAAAAAAGAGAAAGTGTGGGGTAGAAAGGGAGAAAAAGAAAAAAAAAAGCATTGGTTTCCAACTCTCTTTAGCACAACAGAATATAACATTACAACCTCAGCTTGACACTTTTATACAATAACATATACTAGCCATTTCTATAACAACAAACCAAAAACCAAAATAAAGTTTTAATTTTCTATCATAAGCACAAAATCCAGAAGCAGTTTCCAAATAAAAACAAAATGAGATATATTAATTTCTTTTGAATAAAGCAATTAATTTAACCATCTCTACTTTTTTTGCTATGGAAAATAATATATATTTCTATTTGCACATTAATATTTATAGACTATCATACAGATTAGCAAAATTCACTATAGTTCAGATTCTTTAACCCGAATGGGGAAAAAAACTTTTTCTTAACATCTATGTTAAAACTCTATACTTTTGTTTAAGAATATTTGTAAAAACAAATTCTAATCCTTATTTTTTAAACTTCATCTTAACATAGATATTTTCAAATACACTTTCAATAATATTTTAGAAGCTTTAGGAGTAACAGGCATTATATATAAAGGAAAAAAATGCATTTTAAAACCCAGTTAAAATGTTCTTTTGGTTACATATATAAATTCTCCTAACTCCAATTAACTCACTAAATTTAAGTTGCTCCTTCCAGCCAATTAATTCATTAACTTTAAGTCACTCCTTCTAGATTATCTTCCTAGAATAAAATATTTTTCTTCTCTGGAATGTCTATCAAGTAGTTACAAACTTCTTTTTCTCAATGAATTCTCAACCTTGTTAGTATCCATGAAGAAAAAGTCCAAAATTGTCCTCTGAAAGTTACAGATTTTCTTGGAACTCTTCTTTCAGTTGTGCTGGGAGGTTTATATTTAAACCATCATCATAATAAAGATTGGTTTCAGATTTATGTTCCAAAACTGCAATTGTGTCCTTTGCATTGTCAACCACTTGTGAAATTACTCAATGGTTTGGTAACTTTCTTCACATAATTGCATCTCTGAAGTGGTTTGAGTAGTTTTTATAACATGCTTTGAATTTAATTGATCTATAAAATGGAGACTTTTTTTTCCCAAACACATCTCTAGCTATTTGCCCAGCTCCATGCTCCATCTTCTTAACTCCATCTTGTGGTCAAAGGGTAGATTTTTTGTAAATCACAAGAATTGCTGGCCAATCAGAATTCAGTAAATCGAAAAGTTTTAACTACCCACAGCAAAGCAGACCAAGCTACAAATTACTTAAAAATAGTAAAATAAAACCACAACTTTCTATCCTTACGTTTTGCCATCAAAGTTAAAAAAATGATACTCATCACTTCCTTATTTTAGCTTGCCTTTAGCAACCTTCTTCCTTGTTTAACAATAAGGAAGCCCCCAAAATGGTGCAGATCTTCTGAAAAAATAACAGGCCGTGGTTAAAGAGAGCTTCTCTTAGCTTAATAAAGATAATGCTCCCTAAAAGTGAGAAGTGAAAGGGACAACTTATTGACCATTTGAAAAATAAATTGACTACTTTTTCAGCAATGAATAATTGCAGTCCCACCCTGCAGTTGTCAACTCACCTCTTGCTTTGAAGCATAGCTCCTTTTAAAAAATATATTTTTTATTAATTTTCTAATTTTACATTTACGTATTTTAAAAGCAACGTGGTGGCTGGGTTAATCAATAGTTAATCAGTAACATACAAAAATCTTTAGTACAAATCTCAAACTACAACCTCAAATATTTCCTCTCTTTTTTCCTTAATATCTACTATCTCATATTTAAGCTAATATAGTTCTTATTATATCAACTAAATAAAAACATCATTATTACATTTATCAATACATTTTTAGCTTATACATATCTTAATTATTTTTACATTCAATCTTTACATTCAATCAATGACCTGTTATTGGGTTTTCCCAATTTTTAGTTTCCCATCAATATTCAAATTTAATATTTGATATTTATAATTTCCAGGTTTTAGGTAATCAAAGTTTCCTTTATCTCAATTCATAACAAAATCTAATATTCAAAATACACATCTTATCTATTTGGGTATAATCTTGTTCTATGTCCTAAAAGTTATCTATTCCCCCCATCTTACATCATCTAATTAATAATACAGTATCCCCTTTAATAAATCAAATCCCATTATCTATAGTATCTGAGTTAGTCAATAAATCAAACATATTCATAATATTTTCCCTAAAATTTCCCTTATCTCAACTTCTCCCTTTGACTCTCTAATTAGTAATATGAAATCCCCGCTAATAAATCAAAACACCAACTAGCCTTCTATGTCAATGCTTTTAAATTATCAAATAGATCTCCTTCTATTATTATATATATTGTTTGGAATAAGAGAGACCATTTAGTTGCCATTTTTTGGAAGAACTAGCCCATTTGTATTCCTTAAATCGTCTCCCTATTATTCCAAATCCCCATAATTGTCCTGGTATGTTTATCTTCCATTCAGTCTGTTCTTCTTCTTGCTCCTCAAATTTCTTCTGATTTATACAGAAAGTCTTTTCCATTTTCAGTGTTGTCAGTCCCTTTTCTGGATATTCCATTGACTGTATTTGTTGGTCAATTGTCCTCTGTCTTAGTATTTGATTGTTCCACTTCTTCTGTTACCTTCTGCATTGTTAGTTCTTTAGTTGTAGTCAGAATTTGGGTTTGTATATCTAAGCTGACATCTTGTTCTTTTCTGTAACATCTTACTTCGTCACAAGCTGAAAGGATGGTTTCATGTATTGCTTTCGGCATGGAAAGAATCTTTTCCTGGTCTTCATCTATCTTCTCTTAGTGGTGCATTAAGTTGAGGACTTTGAAATCAGATGATGAAAATAATTTTATAGCTGGGTATGGGGCCTCTATTTCACATGTTTGTAGGTAGTTTTTATAGTAAAAGTTGTTTGTCAAGTAAGATTTTATAATCCAAGGTATTTCATTATCTCAAATAACGACCAATATTCCTCAGATAAAAAAAGTAGGAAGACAATTCCCCACATACAGCTCTAAAGATCAATAAAAGTTTATATTCATAGTTCAAGGAGGCCAGCCATGCCACCCAGAAGTTCTTTTTACAGTTGAACTTCTCACAGGTAGTGTTTATCAAAGTTAAAAGAGTCTTATCTGTAGTCTGGGCTTCAAGCCAAGTCTCCTTTAGGCAATAACAAGTTGTAATAACAAGCTTCACCACAAGATGTCACCGATGCCGCTTAAGGTTTTTTAAGTACAAATTTTTTATAGTCCTTTTTCCAATTTTATTTCTTTTTTATGGATAAAAAAAAAGTCTTCCATGAGAATAAGAAAACCTTTGGTCCCCAAGTTTCAAAAACATGTAAATCCAATTAGATTAAAGTTATTCTTTTAGTGCTTTAACTCCCCTGGGTAGTCAGTCACCGCTATTCATAGAGGGTGGGGTAGAAATTCCTTTCCCTCTTTCCTCACAGGGGGAAAGATACTTTGGGCAGCTTTTACAGGAAGAAAAATACTTAGAATCTTAGAGAGAAGATCAGATCTCACCCAGTTTCATATGCATTGCTTTAGATAGAAGTGCCTGGTGGTAAGTTTGACTTTGGCTGTCTGCAGCCTAGTGACGAGCCATATTGCTATGGCCGGTCTTTCCTCTGCCACTTTGGAGGGCTGCCCCGGATCAAGCATCACCCCTACAGGGTGACTTTCGACTCTTTCCAGGGTCCCCCAATGGAATGAAATCAAACGTGGCAGATGGAGCTTGCCTTCCAGCGGCTGTGGCGGCCACAATGGCAAACCGGAAGTCTGAAGCACAGCTCCTGAAACTACTTGTAGACTGCTGCTGTATGAAATATATTGTCAGGTGATTCTAGGACTCCCCCTAACCCAGGAGAGTCATATAAACTAAAAGGAATGCTGGTTTCATCTGTTAGTAAGTTGAAAAAATGACAGTCCAGAGAAAACTCCTTCAGGGAGCCCCAGGGAGCCCTCCCTGGGCATATCGTCAGTTGGCCATCTTCACTGGAAATCCCCTCCCCATACATCCTTTTCAACCAGTGGTTCCCCTGGACTCTCCCTACCTGACTTGCCTAATACCTCTTGTACAGCCCCAGGTGCTTTTCCTAGGAAGGAAGGACGAAACAGAAAAGAAGGAAAGAAATAAGGAAGATTTCAATGCTCTCTGACAGCTTCCCACAGGGAAGCCTACAGGAAGTTATAAGTCATTCCAGCCACATTGGATTTTTTGCCCTCCCAAGATCATTCTGTTTCTTTCTTTTTTTTAGAAAAGGAAATATATGTATAAAATGATGACCCAGCAGGCCACAGATGTCCAGTATTATATTACCATTATCCATTCATATTCTTTGTTACTACACAATTTGTTCTGAACTTGCAAGTAATGTGAAGTCTTTAATTCATTGGCTAATTGGGACCATAAATGTATTTTTTCAATCTTGAATAAAAAAAAATCTCCTAGTGCTTCAAATTGCACAGAAACCATTTCTGTGCAATTTGCCATCAATTTCCATGTAATAGGTAAAAGTTCAAAAGAATATAGCCATATCAAAAATTGAACACCCATCTCAAGTCAAACTGATGCACATAATGATGTTTTCTCAAAATATAATAATTTCAGAATATTGCAAAAATTATGTTTAACTGACACAGGCTTCTCATTCCATGTCGAACAAAGTAATGACATTGATTCCCTTTTCTATACAGAAGTATTATAAACCTATAAATATTACTTTATGTTGAATAAATTACAATCTGAGATGTCCCAAAGATGCTTTTCCACGAGACAACTGAATTTTCTTGTTTTTCCTTTGAAGATGTTTTGCTTCTCATGCAAGAAGCTTCTTCAGCTCTGACTGAATGGAAATGAAAAGATTTATACTTCTTGCAGACAGGTGGTCATTTGCACTCTTTTAGCGAGTCGTTGAAACCACTTGGAGGTTTATCAGTATCGTCAGGGTCACCTGAGTAGTGAGAATGGGTGTGTAGCCTTCTTGGAACGGTTGAAAGGACTGTGTTGTAGACTGGAGACAGATGATGTCTTATCCCTCCCCCTCTGTTGAGAGAGGGCTGTTCAATTTTGACATAGATGGCTTCTTTGTCCTCTCTTTCAAACCAGCAGTCTGGACAATTGTTGTTAGATTAGATCTCCATTTATTAAATTACATTCAGTTTTTAATATTTACATAACAAATGACTTATTGGAAATTAATATTTATAAAGACTAACTGGGATTTTAATTTTCATAAGACCAATGATCACTTCTAATCATTTACATGTCCAAAATAAGATGTCAATAGATGTTGCACCAGTAGAATGTTAAATAAAAAGATATTTATCCTTTTAAAAAAAGGAAATTAAAACTAACATTATTATTCTAAAATCAGTCTAAAATAAAAATCTCAGCATATATTCAAATCTTCCACAGAATACAGATTTTTTTAAAAAAATCATTTTTTTTATTAAAAAGTTTTTATTTTCCATTTATTCATACAAAATACAATTAAATTCCTAACCATTGGTACCGCCTGCCCATTCCCCCCAGGCTGCGTCCACCCTCTCTAATCCTTCCCCACTTCCCTCCTCTTTCTCTCCTCCCCTCCTACTCTCTTCCCCTCCCCTTCTCCTCTAACCATCCTACTTCCTCCCTACTCCTTCCTCCCCTCTCATCCCTCTCACACACATGAACGCAGCATAGGGGAAATGCCCAAGCATTTACCATGACTATATTATCATTACCCACCCACTCACCCACCCACCTACCCTCAATCCTCCCCCCCTCGCTTCCCAGAGCAGAGTACAGGGTTATTATTAAGAAAGTTAACAATAATAAAAGAAAAAAGAAAAAAAGAGAAAAAAAACCCATCGTACTTAACCTTTAACTCCCCTTAAATTAAGTCATATAAACAAATCTCTACAACAGTTACTATAAAATTTACTCATAAAATAAATGAAACTTTATAGTCCCATATTTTTTCTGAATATAATCTATCCATCTTCTCCATACAATAATATATCTTTCTTGTGTATGATCCTTCAAATAAGCAGAAATTTTTGCCATTTCTGCAAAGTTAGAAACTTTAAATATCCATTCTTCTAAAGTAGGCAACGAGTCCTTCTTCCAATACGAGCCTACTAATAACCTTGCTGCAGTTAATAAATTCAACATTAAAGTAGTTTCTTTGTCATTTAAATCCACAAAGATACCCAATAAGAATAATTGAGGGGTGAACTTTATCTTCCTTTTAAAAATCTTTTGAATGTTCCACCAAATCATAATCCAAAAAGCCTTTACCTTTTTACAATTCCACCAAACATGAAAATATGTCGCATCCATATTATCACATCTCCAACATTTGGGTTGTAAATTTGGATACATACAAGATAATTTTTTAGGATCTAAATGCCATCTGTAAAACATTTTATAAAAATTTTCCCTCAAATTTTGAGCTTGTGTAAATTTAACATTTCTAATCCAAATTGTCTCCCATAAGTCCAATGGGATCGGATCCTGGATATTCTGAGCCCATTTAATCATACAGTCTTTAACCAATTCTGTTTCAGAGTCTAATTCTATTAAAGCATTGTAAATTCTTTTTATATGGGCCTGACTCTGATCTTTAATCTGAATAACCAGATTTCCATCTTCTAGTGTTATTCCTTCTTTTTTATCTACAGTCCACCTGTCCACTATTTGTAAATATTGAAACCATGACTGTAGAATATTTTCTTGCCTTAATACATCTAGAGATTTTAAATACCAATCCGAACCTGACCAAGTTAATAATTCTTTATACGAAATTTTATCAAAATTCATCCCCTTAGAAATCCCCTCAATTGCATGTCTAGGAATCCCCCAGATAGGTATTTTATAGTTTAACCTATAATAATACTTTTTCAAAACTCGAAGTAAGGCACTCCTCAAAATATGTGATTTGAAAGCCCGGTCCACTTTCTTATTAAAAATTAAATATGCATGCCAATCATACATTAAATCCCACCCTTCAAAAACAAGAATATCCTTATTTCTTAAATTAAGCCAATCACTTATCCAAGTTAAGGCGGCTGCATCATAGTATAATTTCAAGTTAGATGCTTTAAGTCCTCCTCTTTCTGGTTTTTTCCCAGCCCTAATGAATTTATTGATACCCTTCTGCCATCCCTCCAAATTTACATCTTTTTTAAAAAATAGGTATCATCTGAAACAAGAAAAGAAACTTTGGTAGAACATTCATTTTTACAGCTGAAATTCTCCCCAACAATGACAATTGCAGTTTTTTCCAGTCATTTAAATCCTTTTGCACTTTTGCCCATAGTAATTCATAATTATTTTTATACAATTTCCCATTTGAAGCAGTTAAATATACTCCCAGATATTTAACCTTTTTCACCATCTGAAAACCTGTGGCTTTAACCAAACTTTCCTTGTTATTGGCTAACATATTCTTAGGTAATATCTTAGTCTTATGGTTATTAACTTTAAAACCAGAAACTTTTCCATACTGTGTTATAAGTTCTAATAGACAATCAACTGCTCTAATCGGTTGTTCCAAAATCAAAACCAAATCATCCGCAAAAGCCCGTAATTTATACTCATTTTTTCTTATCTTTATGCCCTTGATTACCGTTGATTCTCGAATCTGGATCAACAAAATCTCCAATGTCAAAACAAATAACAATGGAGATATTGGACATCCTTGTCTTGTCCCTTTTTCAATATTAAAAGTCTCACTCAATCCCCCATTAACAACAATTTGAGCAGATTGTTGCTGATATATAGCTTTAAATGCATGTAAAAAATTATCCCCAAAATTCATTTGCTCTACCAGTGAGAATAAGAATTGCCAATCAATTGGCAAAAAAATCAATTTTAAAGTCTGAATTATTGCATTGCATCAGTTTAACATGAGAAAATGGATCAAAATGCAATTTTCCACAAGTAGAATACTACAATACTCAATTTGGATATAATAGCAACAAAGGCCATGTCTGAAAGGGCTATGTCTCTAGTCTACTGATATATCCAAAATGCTGATAATAATTTATTATCATTTTAGATATATTTTCTTACCTAAAAAAAATCTGTTGAAGGTGATGCCATCAAAGTAACCAAGAATGACCCTAGGAAGGAGTATTTATGTTAAACAAAGTTGTTTCAATTTTGGTATAGTGAGAATAGCTGAAAAAAATGGTCCCTGTAATGAAAGGAAAAGAGGAATAGAAGGGGGGAGGAGGAGGAGGAGGAGGAGGAGGAGGAGGAGGAAGAAGTGTCTAATGCTATTTGGGAAATCCAGAACTGATCTTTAATAACAACTGCATATTTTTTAAACATATTGGAATTGAAGAAGCCCGTATCTGCCCATGTTTCTCTTTTTCTTTGTGAATAAAAAGCAAACTGCACAAAATATATATTATGCTGCTTTAAATTTATTCAAAGTGTGTTTCCCATATTCCAAGAGAGTAAGGTTTAAAAACTTCTGTCTCTCAATGTCCAAAGAAACATCTTTATATAACTTATTAACATTTAGTGCAATTATTACAGAAATATTATGTAGAACAGGATGAACTATATAGTGAAAAAATAATTATTTACTGTATTAATTAACAAATATTTGCCTATTGAAATCAATTCCTACTTTGATCACTTAGTGGAGTATCATGCAATTCTTGTAAACACATTAATCCAGAGGGTGGATGGAAGTGGCTTCAAGAAGATCCAACAACCAAACTCCTTAATGAGTGTCTTTTGTAGGCCTTATTTTTGACACTTGTAATTTGATTTTTTTCTGGCTTTAGATTACAGAAACTACATTAAAAACAATTTTCAAACGATTAAAGATCCTAATGCTGTTCCTGGTGAATATGTGCTCCTGAATCAGAGATACTCAAAGCTAATCATCCTAGATTATTATCGGTCTAAAAAGGAGCGAGAACATGAAATTCTGGCAACAGGAAGAAAACATGTTGAAATCATCAGCAAGATTGCTGAGTCTTCAGCCAGTGTTGAAACATTATTTAACCGTGGTAAACATGGACTAATTCCACAAATTGTTGTGTTGCAAGGAGCTGCAGGAATTGGAAAAACCACAATGGCCAAAAAAATGATGTTGGATTGGGCTTCTCAGCAACTTTACCATGATAAATTTAATTATGTTTTCTATATTTACTGTAGAGAGATGAATCTCCATGCAGAGTCAGAGAAGAGTAGCATTGCAGAGATAATTTCAAAACAGTGGCCCAGGTGTCAGGAAGTGAAAAGTGTCATTGAAAATATACTGAAGAATGAAGAGAAGCTTCTATTCATAATTGATGGGTTTGATGAATTAAGGTATTCCTTTGATCGGTATGAAGATTCCTTTTGCTTTGATCCATGGAAGGAGGAGCCAGTAAAAATTATTTTAAGAAGTTTATTTCAAAAAAAGCTTCTTCCTGAATCCTCTCTTATAATCACAACAAGACCTACTGCTTTAGACAAATTCCATCGATGTTTAAAACATCCACATTTTTTTCAGATATTGGGGTTTTCTAGAAAGGATAGGGAAGAATATTTCTACAAATTCTTTGAAAACAAAGACCAAGCAACTCAAGCTTTAAGATTTGTGAAACAAAATGATACCCTTTTCACCATGTGTGTCATTCCCCTTGTGAGCTGGATCATCTGCACAGTGATGAAACAAGAGATGGAGAGAGGTATGAATCTTCAGAAGACACCATGCACTCTTACTGCAATCTATATGCGGTATCTGTCCAGTTTGTTAGATTTTCATCACCAAGAATCCAAACAGGATGTCCAAAGAAAGTTAAAGACTTTCTGCTCTTTGGCTGCAGAAGGCATGTGGAAACAGCAAATACTGTTTATGGAAGAAGATGTCAAGAAGCACACTTTGGATCAGGATGACCTCTTCCCCCTCTTTCTGAATCAGAACATCTTCAAAAGGGACATTCACTGTATTCAAACCTTCAGCTTCATTCACTTAAGTTTCCAGGAGTTTTTTGCTGCTTTGTTTTATGTTTTAGAAGATGGAGAAGAACAGCGTTCTCAAAACCCAGATAAAAATTTATTGACACTTTTACATAGGCATAGTATATTTTCTCAGACTGATTTTGCAGTAGGATTTCACTTCCTTTTTGGTCTTCTAAATGAAGAAAATAGAATGAAAGAGTTGAAAAATAAATTTGGATGGGAAATTTCTAGTTAGAATAAAGAATTATTATTAGACTGGGTGAAAGAAATGATTGACAGAAGAATTTATAGGATTGAATCTGGGTCAATCACCGGGAATGATCTAGACTGGGTCATGCAACATTATCCTGAGACATATATAGATAAATTCTTTCATAAAAGAATTTATTTCTATATGGAAACAGCAATACTTAGTTATTTGTATGAGACACAAGATGAGAATTTTGTAAAAGATGCACTATGTGCTGTCACCACAATGGAGTATCACTGCAATTCAAATACAGAACTGATGATCCTGGCCTATTGCTTACAACATTGCCAGAATTTGCAGAAGCTCTGTGTTCGAGGCCCTACATCTATATATCCAACAGAGAAAGAAATGTTTCTTCTAGAACATAGGTAAGTATTTTTGAAAGTTTATAACTTTTTGGCATTTAATTCAGTTTATAATCATGCCACTGCTACTCTCAAACCTATTCTCCTAAATATAATAATACGTCAGAAAAAGGCCTCTTCATAAATATCTTTCAGTAGCTGAGTTATGGAGGTGTCTCAATCATTATATATCCTTTTAAAACAATGTACTATGCTTTCTGCCAAAATGTGTTCCCTCATTATCTTTACTGGGCTTCATCTGCTCTGACTCATTGGCCTGGAAGCTCTGAGAAGTGCCTGATTCCCTGCTTGCTTTTCCGGCTGACAATCTGTCTGTTCACTCCTCTAACCCCTGAGTCAGATGACTGATGAAATCATAACAGTGCAAAGGAAACAACCTTTTTGTACTAGCCTTCATCCATTCATTACCCTTCGTGATTGACACTGATGGACTAACAAAAGGAAAAAGAAAATACCAATTTTTCCATTTTTTTTCTGTAACCTCCAGTATAAGAAAATGATAAGGGATAGCACTCTTGTCAACTTCACCTTGCTCAAAAAGGCAGTTCCCCCTTTACCTGTTCCACCAGTGACCTGTTTTTAAAATAAACATCCAGTCCTTTCAGTGATCTTGTACAGTAACCCTCCACTGCCCCAAAAGGGCATAAGAGGCAGTAACCAGTGACCAGAGGGAAGAAGGCATTCCTGCCACAGGTCCTAATAGCCAATTGGAGCAGAGATGCTTACCTGAAATAAAATGAAACTCAGGCAGCAATCTAGAGAGTCCCACTTATTTACAATTATAGGCCATAATTATTCTTTGGAGGTGAATGAAGATGACTATGCATGAAGAGAATATCCATGGTAAGCATGTATGCATGGTTATATAACATTTGGAAAGTACTTCTCACATCTATGTTCTGGTACTTAGGATTCCTTAAATATTCTCTCAGTTTATTCATTTTTTTTTGTATCTAGGATGCCATCTTAATCTTAATTACTTAATTTCTGCATGCAGAGCTCTATAATAATTTCATTTACTATATCGTCTTTTTATACTACTAATTTCCCATACTGCAACAAGAGTACATTCACTTCTGGTTACTTTACAAATGGACTGGAAGCCATTTATATTTTCAAGGTACAGGAATTAGAAACACTGAAGTCAAAGTCTGAGAACAAAAATGTTTTTCTCCTTTAGGCAATGTGGTTTGGATGAAGTATGTATGGAAGATTTCTTTCAATCACTGACAAAGCTGAGAAACCTAAGAGTCCTGAGGTAAGAAACTGCTTTCATTTTATCACAGATGTTATTGATAAGGAAAAAAATACTTAATATTAGAAGTTTGCATATTACCCTTAATAATATTGCTATAGCACTCTATTATCAATCTTTCATGGTCAACAATAAAGGAGACTTCTTTGGGAGTTCCTGCAGCCTGAGCTGGAACTCGGTGTTAACTGACTTTGAGTGTTTGGGAAATGTAAGGAAGGATGCACTGTTATCACTGGAATTTCTTGATGAGAGGCAGGATATAGTGTTCTAGGGCTTCCTCTAGAGAGAGAAAAGTGAGAGACAGGGCTCCCCCACTTTTGTTTGTGGTTTTGTGAGAGGAGGTCTGAGGAGAGATGTGTCCATGATGCTTATGGGAGGGGGGAACTGAACAAAGAAGCTACTGTGCCCTATTGGATGGGTTGAACTGATAGGTCTATCAATAGAAGTGCTTGGCAAACAGCAATCTGCTCTTGGTGGAGAGAGTGAATTAGAGTGGTTGTGTGTCAAGATGGAGTTAGAGGTAGTGGAAAGACTGAGGGAATGAGGCTGGATACTGCCTTTCTTTTACCTTCTTCCAAAGTGGAAGAGTACTTCTCCAGTTCGTCACAAACACACAAAGCAGCAAGTAAGCTTACAATTCCCAGAGTTAACAAATATAAATATGTAAGGGCCATTACACAAGGCTGTAGGAGCAAGCTGGGCATGGCTGCTGCCCAGCAATATCCCTTGGATTTCATTGCCTGACTATGGTAGAATCCCCAGACTGGGAGTGCTCCATGTCTTGGGGATAAAATCTTGTGCTATTCCGGATTTCATGGCCTCCATGACAACCATTAACTTCTCTCTGATTCCGTTCATGTTAGCAGTCATATGTTAGACCTAGATTGCATATAGAGCAGTATCCGCCACCACAAGAGGACCCTGAAGAAAGAAGGAAGAATGGATGCCAGAATTATTTTAAAATACAAATCTCTATTAAGAAAAATACATTAATAAAAGCAATATATTAAGACAGGAACTCTCATCTTGTTCAGTTGCAACAGATAATGGCGGGATAGGAGATTCATCATGATGTGTGTGATTATGGGTCCTATAGCACCCAGATTTATAATTCTGGGCTCCCCTCTCCCATCTGGCACCAGGCAATCTTACTAGAGAATTATTCATAAATTGACATGTGGGTCATGTCAACAGAACTATGTGTGTGGGAACAAAGGGTATTTCTTGTCTCCAAGCTATATGTAAGAGATCTATCCATGGGAATGGGAAGCTAGTTGTGCAATTAGCAAGAGCAAAAGATAAATATTTTGTTCTCTGAAAGTGTGAGAGCAGGTCAAGATGATTAATAGCCAGAGCAGTCCCATCCAAGACTTAAGTTAGGTCATGTGAAGACCCCCAAGAATGCAATCCTTTTGCCTCCATATGACCTAATCAGGACTAGCACTGTCTTGTGTTGTTGAGCCCCATTCCAAATTACCCCTGTTTCCACCACTATCTCTGGATTGATTCCTTAAGGATTCTTTTGTCCTCTGTAGCAGATCTCTCAGAATCTTTCAGGTGGGCATTTTTTTTCACTCTACAGAAGTAGGATATTAATATTCTATTAAAAAAAATCAGAGCTAAAGTTTCTGAAACTGAACAGCTTCACAATTTTGCATATGGTTGCAACTCATGGCCTAAAGAATGTTGTGTAGTTGGAATTATAGGTGGCCTCACTTCAACCATACTCCAAACATTTGTCTTCTCCCCAGTACAGTGTTCCTACCTTGCTATTGCAAAGGGTGTCAAACTGCCAGCTCGCAGGCTGGATGTATCATAGAAAAACCACACCCACCCCATGGCCGATAATGGAAAAAAAGTCCCTATACGTCACAACACGTCATGTGACGTTGAGAGTTTGACACCCCTGCTGTAGGAAATCAGGATTTCAGCTTGCTCCTGGTTAATGCATGTATCCCTCCACACAGGCTGATCTCATAAGATTAATGCCTTTTGGTATTGATTAGAGGACATTTTGCTAGAATTGAGCCAACAGTTTTCAAATCCACCCTGACTTGTCATCAGTTTCCATTAATGTGGATGTCTGAATTCAACACTGTGTCTACTCTGTGAGTTCAGAATGGTTACATGCCAGAGATACATATTGAATCCACAACTGGAGGTACATCTTCAGTGAGTATCATAGTAGTGACTCACTTCCTAAATCTTACCTGACGCCTTATTACTGTTTGTCTTTTAGTTAGCTAAAATGCTTATGAAGTATTAACTTCTCATCAACTATTGAAGCTTATACAGGATTAATCTACTTCAGTGTGAGGTAATTTTAATCCAATTTTGAAACCATGGTTTGATAAAAAGTGTCTTGGATAAAGATAGCACTGTTCAGAATCAGTTGGAGGTGCATGTTATCTAAATAGAATAAGCTAAATTACATTGAAGGATGCATTGAGAATTGCCAGTTATAAAAATATATTCATATGGGAAATTTCATACCTAGAAAACAGAATATAAAGATATCTTGGGGAATAAGAAACTGCTATAGCAAAGGTTGGATTGAATGAGCTTCACATGATCAACCCAAGAGAGCAACGCTGTCATTTTTTGATGCCCTGTAACCAGTTCAGTCCAGAGAAAAACCTCTATGAATTCAATTACTTCTGAGGTCTGAGTAAATTATTTCCATAAGTTATTCAGTTTATCACTCAGTAATCCACCTATTTTCTACTAAATAAGGCTTTTCCTGAATGTCTCCCCCACCCATCATCATTTAGAGAAAATCAAGCTTAAAAATGGAAAAGCATGAATCTAATACTATATTTAAAATTAAGTCTAGAACGATGGTCCCCTATATTGGCTTCCCTATTTATGTACATAGATTAGTCTATCAACTGAATGGCAATGCTCTAACTATCCCAGTCTTTAAAAGGACGACCTGTTCAATCCATCAAATTACCATCCAATTAGGTATAATACGCAAATAAAATGAGAAATATTTCTGTGTGTAACTAATGGACTGCATGGTTTAAGCTGCCATGGTTGACTTCAAAGTTGCTATGGATCTGCTGGTCATGTCCTCTGATGAGGAGGATGGGGAGGAGTTGGAGTTAGGGACTCTAGAAACAATAGTCTTGGCTTTGGTAATTCCAGTAGTAGTAGTAGTGACAATGAGTAGACTCTGGTGAGTTGGTTATAATAAGCCCCCAGGTTGCCTTACTTGCACCAGTGACAGCCTCTAAGAGTGCAGAACTTGGTAGATCTGATAAATTTGGCAAGAACAAAGTCAGCCTGCTGGAGAACCAAGGAAACATCTACAGCTGAATATTGGGTAGAATATATGGTTGATTTATTGGCCTCACTCCCTGAGAGCAAATTCTGAGAACAATTTTTTAAGCTTTATGTCTCTCAAGCTTCCCGCCTCTTGTCTTTTCTCCATACATCTCTTATTTAGGATTGGATTCCCCATCTCAACCTGTGCCAAGCTTGTAGCTATCTTGATAATTGCCCTTGTATCATACTGGATAAAACCATTTTTCAAAATTCTGCCTGAGTATGCATGATGGAAGGCATTCTGGATGGTGGGAGGCATTCTGCTTGCTATCTTGTTAGTTGTCAAAGGTTACTAATTCCATATATTTTTTCAACATACTGAATACTAAGTTTAAATATGTTAAAAGCCACAAGAATTTTATATATTCTTTTTTGGAAAAGATGCTTGATCCCCACTGTTGAAGAATGGCTAACTAAATTACAGAAATGTACTTTGATATCTAAGTTCATTTCATATTTTAAAAGGAAATTGGATGTAGAAATCCATTATATTCGGAATACATTTTAGATGTCGATTGTACACATAAAAAAGTGCCAAATCCAACATTTGTGTTTCAAACTTTATTTCTCACTTTGACATATAATCTACATACTGTACTATTTATAAGAAACTATTAATGTTTTGTTTTTTAGCCAGCCATATGATATTTTAGATCAGTTGGTTATGTTCCCAAGTCTATCCTTATTGAGTATTTGTAATTATTATTATTTATTCATCTATTTTCATATATGTAATTTTTGTATCAGTACTCTCTTTTTTTCCATTCTTCTTTGAAAATTATAATCTCATAAAAATAAATAAAAAGAAACCCAAACCCAGAAGGTATCATTATAATTCTTCTGAATATTTATTGCACTTTCAGATTGGAAAAATGGTCCTTTACACAGTCCTGCAGCAAGCAACTTGTTGAAGTCTTTAAGACAAACCAGAAGTTGAAGGAGTTTAATTTATTCCTCAAAGACACAAATGAGAGAGCAATGGAATTACTGTGTGAGGGGCTCCGACATCCAGACTGTGAAATAGAAATACTAGAGTGAGTGATCAATATTTCTTTTTCAGTTTGATACTAAACTGGGGGGAATTGAAAGATAGACCCAAGATTCAAAAGAATCTTGACAGAGCTGAACATTGGGCCTTATTGAACAAGAAGTAGTTCAGTGGTGAGAAAATTAAGGTCCTGCACTTAGACAGGAAAAATCAAAACTTTTCCAAAATAGGCTGTACCTGGCTCAACAGTAGTGACCTTGAGAGGGATCTTAGTGGACCATCCTCCTAGTGCCTCATCACTTAAGTATGATTTAGCAGTGTGATACAGCACCCTAGAAAGAATGCAGAGAAGAGCAACAAAACTAAAAGGGCTCTAGGGGCTAATCTATATGATTATATGACAGATAATAATTTCCGTATAGAACTGTACCAGCAGCTCCTTGGGCAATCTGAAATACTAATTTCTGAGATGACACAGGGAAAACATTCTTTGTTGTGTCTTTTTAATGATGGTTCTGATGTTAGATATCCATTTCAAGTTCTGGGAGATTATAGAATCCTTAAACCTGAAGGTCTCTACTGTTGATACTGTGTTGTCTAATATTTTAAGAAGTGATAAAATAGGAGAGCTTCTCCTAAAATTCTATTCACTCTGCTAAACACCTAATTCTCTCCGCACTATCTTATGCCTAAAGATATTTTGTAGTAGGGCTGTATTGCTATTATCGCTCTTATTTTCTCATCTTATCCTTCCTACTACATTCTCCTATTAGTATCTTATGATTTATCACTTGCTGTTTGTATCTTATGATTTACGAGTGTATCTTACGATTTATTATCTAAAACATACCATGATATTATTGTTGTATGTACACTGAGAACTTAAGCACCGGAGACAAATTCCTTGTGTGTCTAATCACACTTGGCCAATAAAGAAAATTCCTGTTCCTATTCCTATATTAATGGCTAAGGGAACTAAGTATGTGTAATCTATTAAAAATGGATGAAGGATGATATGATAGCTATCTTCCAGTGCTTGAGGGGCTGTCATAGAAGAGGGAATAGACTTATTCTCCAAAGCATCGGAGGGCAGAATAAGAAGAATGAATGGAAGCTCATTAAAGGGATATCCAGCATGGAACGGAAGAGAAATTTCTTGGCAGTAAGAACAATTAATCAATAGAACAGCTTGCCTCCCTGAGCTGTTGATGGTTCATGATTGGAGCTTTTCAAGAAAAGATTGGGCAGCCATTTGTCTCTGCCTTGGATAGGAGTTGAATTAAAAGACTTCAAAAGTCCCTTCCAGCCCTATGATTGTACAAAGCCTGCATGTTTGGTTTAAATGAATCTAATGTATTTCTTCTTTTGTGCCTTTCCTTGAGATAGAAGGAGTTCCCCATTTTACAGAGAGTAGCTGGTTATGATTAGGAGCTCTAGAACTGAGGCCCTGCTTGTTTGCTCTCTTGGCTCTCCTCCCAGGATTTAATGGGGGCCAAGCATAGCTGTTATCCAGAAGTTTAAACTTGTGAAAATCAATAATTTCTCTATTTAAAACATTAAAAGCAAAAACAGAATAAATGGCTACACAAAAATGAAAGTGGGAAAAGACACAGTAGATAAAGAATTAAATATCAATAAGTAAAAAATGTACAATAATAATAATATTTAAAAAACATTATTCCATTCATTCCCTCATTATATGTAATACAGTTAGATTAATATCATCTTAAGAAAATTCTCAATAAAACTATAAATATTAATACTGATATTGATATCACCAATGTTTGCCATTTTTCCAAAAGTAAAAGTACCTGCTTATCTGCTGGAAATGTATCCTCAGAGAGGCAGTTCCACTATCAGCAAACATCCATATTCCCTTCAGTTCCCTGAAGAACTGAATGTTTATATTTATGTTTATGTTTCTTTTCCAAGAAATAATTGCACTTTCTGTGATTCATACCTGCAGGGTTGGTGGAGAGGCCATGACCGAATATCTTGCAGAAGTATTCAGAAGAAACCAGAGTTTAAGAGATTTAAAGTTGTGGCTATTCTGTCCAAAATACAGAGTAGTGAGAAGTCTGTGTGAGGGGCTCCAGGACCCAGACTGTAGAGTAGAAAAACTATGGTAAGTGATCATTTTTTCTTCTTCAGTTTAATGCATGCTGCTTTCTCTTGACTACTTGTTTTCTGGAAATGTATCCAGGGAGAAGCAGTTCA